CCCCCAACCAATAAGCATTTCTAAGGTAATACAAAGGTTCACTGTTTGATCTTTCAGCAGGACTACCGCTCTTCTACCTGAGGCACAAAACAGGCTCAACTTAAGGAAATAAACCCCAGAATGCTTTGGTTACAGAGCCTATTTCTGCATGTGTGTAGAGGCAGACAGAAAGAAGCGCCTTAGTCCGGCAGATGATAGTTAAGATATGAGTGTCGCCACTGAAGCTCTCTCCTAAAGAAGCCATTTTAACCACACACATCAATAGCCAACCCTCTAGAGCAAAGCACAGAAATAATTCCAGATAAATCATTTCCTCACAGAGCCACTTGCTTCGTTCAAATGCACCCATGACCTTCAGCTCTGCCTCTTTCCACATCATATAGCCTGGGAATATAAAAGCTTATTAGCTCAGAACATTGTTTGTTCGAAGGCAATGCACTAATGAGGCGTTGCAGGACACAAACGTCTACAGACTTTTTTCCTTTTGGAGATATTTTTTCCCCGTCGCCAGAGGAGCATAATGCACTGCTAATGGCATCTCCTCTGCAAATGGGCAAATAAAAAGAGAGATGAAGTAGAATATTGCTTTACCATATCAAAGGAAGTGGCATCCACAGACTGTGCAACTGTCTGTTTGCATGTTGATGGGTGAGCAGGAGGGTGGACTCCAGTCGATCGGCACAGAGAGGAGCTGCCAGAGCGAAACACAGATAAACAGTGAAATTGGACGGCAAATACACAGAAGCAGACAAATAAACAGCAGAATTTAAACAACGTGGCAACAACAAATGCACTCTTTTTTTTAAAAAAAAAAGAAACTTTAAGCATGCAAGGACAGACTCGTGCATATTCCAGAATGCAATTATTATTTCGACCTTACATCATTTTAGTCACATCTACAGCAGCGTGATGTGCTTCTGTGTAATCTTCGAGACAGGACAAGTCCTTTATACACAAACCCAGAGCTGACTTTAACAGGAGACAAAGCAAAAACACTGCAGATCTGAAGTCCAGTCCTGAGTTGTTCCTCTTTGTGCTGTCACTGGAATGTGTGCAACTTATTTACTGTTAGTCAGGATTTTGTTGCTTTGCTACTTTAAGCCGTCACACATTGCTGAAGACGACGAAACATTCATTTGTCTGTGACACAGGTGGATAAATTAGCCTGAACCAACTGAGCAGGACTCACGCAAGTTAGAAACTTTAGATAAAACAAAAACTTTGTATATATATATATATTGAATACCTCTCCACTTTAGCAACCAGCACAATAAGTTGTTGTGGACATTTTCAACAAACTCATATTTGTGCACATCTTCTCTCTTTATAAAATAATGAAAGTCTCAGAAAGTAAGCATTAGATGCACATCTAAAATAGCGTGAATTTTGGAGTCAACCCAGTTCAAGATGGTTGCCACAACCAAGTGACTTTAGGAACCAAATAAATTATTTTCTAAGTTCCTTAGGAAACATAAACATGCTTTTAACTTAGCTAATTTTACATGTACTGAGTGAAACCTTGGTGTGGTAGTAGTTGAGAGACATATTCTAAGCATTCATGAATAGGCTTGTGCAAAACTGTATCGTTCAATAAATCAGGAAAAGCTGTCATTAATATTTGCCACCTTGCGATTAGTGCCATGTGATGATGACATATTTTTGTGTGCAAATGTGCACCATATATTTTATTGTCTCATGAATGCAATTCAGGAAAAAAACAGTCTGCAGTTTGTTCCAAACTGGGAAGCCAGAGATACCACAGCCCCCCACCCAGTCACTCTGCCTTTATACATTTGCTACACCCAAACCACCCAATTTCCCAAACACACCTTCTTGTTCTGTCTTCAGCTACGCTTGATTATTACGAATAAACAAAGAGCCATGAACTAAGATGGGCTGTCGGCAGATGTTTTCCCCTCTCCCATCCTGGAGACCTTCAGAAGGGTACATGAGAGCCGGCAACTGTAAACTGGGAGGAGATGCTGAAGGTCAAAACTTACAGTCACAATCTTTTTKTTTTTTTTTGTGAATACAAAACAGAAACAAAAATTTGCAAACACAGGAGTATAAAAAKAAATGGTGCAGATAGCTCACTTTCTGTGCAGAGAGGGTTAGATGCCTTTGCTCTCAGGAGGGTGGCGTATGAAGAGTGTGTGATTGTGTGCATCTGACAGAAACTCTCCTGGGTAAGTGAGGATGATGTAAGGGGGCAGCTTATTGACTTCTCCCCATGTCGAAGAAAGAAAACAACCCACAATGATCACTTTAATACCTCAAAATTGATAAAAAAAATTGACAAAAATAGTAAGAACACATCAAAAAACATTGAATTTTGGTTCAACAAAATTATTTTGAACAAACTAATGAAATTGGTCTTGACAAAAAGGAGGGCAAAGATTGAGAATAATTTGACCACAGGGTAAACTACAGTCCTACAATCAGCATCACGGTCACTTTGCATATTATAGGCTAGAAGGTAGTCACAGGGCTGTTTGGTGTCCTCGTGTGTACCACACTGACCATGGACCACAGAAAGCTAAGGACAGAGCTGTCTCAAGAGCTCAGAAGGTACATTTTTAAGCAGCATGTTAAAGATAAACGGTATATGACCATCAAAAAAAGACAAAGAGGTCCTCTGGACGAGTTCTTCTTTGTTGAAAAAATAAAAAAAATGTTTTGTCTCACCTCCAAGACACTTCTTCAGTCTGAAGAGACTGAGGAAATGAGAAAGATATGACCACCTCCAAGCAGCTGAATGATTCTACTACAACTGCATCGATCATTCAGATGTTTAAGGTCCACATGACTGGAGACAACCTCCACTTGTAATACCACTGGCACCCAAAGAGTCCAGAACAGCTTCCAGAGAGATCAGAGGTGAACTCAAAGGTTCATCAGTAGCTATGTTTACAAGCGCAAAATTCTTTGATCGGATTGAAATRTATTATTAAATGGATTAAATAATCGGAATGTATCGTTTACATGGGCACAATCCAATCACGACAAGTGTTTACATGCACCGGGCTTTTATTCTGAATGGAAAGAACTGACATGCACAGTTGCTAACTTTCCCTTAAAAAAAACAGAAAAAAGTTCTACTTCCGTATTGAACATAAACAAACAGCTTCTGAGCTCAATGGAGCACCTGTCCGTGGTGGAGACGTTACTGCACTCCCTGGTTTAGCTGCTGGTGACACGCTGACTTTTTTTTTTGCAAAGCGTCACAGGCTGCGTGTCTTCCTTCTTTATTGAATGAGAAAACGAGAGGAAAATTTCTGTGCTGCTGGAAACCGCTGGATGAAAGTCAGCAGACATGCACAGTCAGGTCTTTTCCACAATCAGAATAAGGTGATTGGATTAAGTGTTTACATGCACGCTGTTCGGATTATCAATCGGCATAAACCACCTCTCTCATTCCGATTACAAATTCATTTGGATCGAGCTGAATCGGGTCAAAATAATCCGAATGGGGTGTTTTCTGAGAGAGTTTGGTGACGAGACAGACCCAGGGCGCAGGCAGGTTTCAAAATATAACAAAAGATTTATTTAAGTAACAAAAAGAGGGCTGATTGCAGCAAACTTACTAGAAAAACGAGGATCACAGGCAGGGGGAACAGAACACACACAGAGCACCATAACAAACAATGATCCGACAAAAGACAGAGACAGGACAGGGCTTAAATACACAGAAAACTAATGACTGAACAGAAAACACCTGAGGAGAAACACAAGGGTGACAATCAAGGTAATGTAGGGGACACCTCGAGTGAAGAAACAGGACTTACTGCCTGAAAGCAGGTCTCGCACAGGCCTGAGAGCACACAAAC